TCCAAAAAAACTTATATATATACATATATATATATATATATTCATTAATTAGAAAATTCACATTGATTATATAATAACAAGTTTCTTTAATGGGACATTTACATAAAAACCACTCAATTCTCATTAATTTAACTATGTAACAACCTAAACCTCAATATTACATACATACCGTCCTATTCTTCTTAATTTCTAGTATCTACCACTTTGTTACATTTTTATGTCTAATCTCAATGTTTTGCTACTTTATGGAGAGCGGCATGATTGCAGTGAACAAAGATGTCCGTAACTCTCATCTTTCTTGTTGAAATTCAGAATAATGTGGAATACCTGATTTTCTCATTGATATGACGAATGTATAAATGACCCTTACAAGAATCCTATAATAGGAAAAATAATAAAAAAAAATTGATATGAAAGGAAAGATATATAATCTAATATCTTCAATAATCAATTCATATTAATTATTAGGAGATATAAGAAATAATATAATAATATAAAATAGGAAAACAAGAATAGGAAAACAAGTAATTCCTAATCAAAGGAAATAAATATAAAATAAGAAAAAAAAATATCTCCTAATATTAAGGAAATAATTTATTACTCATAACTTCATGTAAGCATAAATTATTTCCTATTATAATTCTTAACACTCCCTCTCAAATTTGGAATGTATGTTAATAATTCATAACTTGCTAAGTATTGAAGACAAATTGGTCATTTGAATTATCGAATTTGCTAGATTCAAGCTTAGCTGAATTTTTAGCTTTGTCTGTCATATGTTTTGGCGTAGAAGAGAGATTCAATCTTGGCTGAATTTGCTGGATTAAGGCCTGACTGAATTTTGAGTTTTGTCTGTCATATGTTTCGGCGTAGAAGAGAGATTCATGCTTGGTTGACTTTTGAGTTTTGTAGAGAAATAAACCTATAGGAAAACTGAATTTTAGTTTATCATAATTATCGTTGGTTACAGAAAAAAAACATGTAAATCACACTAAAACAGGTAAACCACACTCAGAAAATTATGCTGACAAAGAAAGCAACAGAAGAAATGGCGGCTGGAAATAGAGCTCCCTCTGACGCTTGGGTCAGGGAAGAAAAAAATACTGCAAGAGAAAGGGTCGGCGATGGATTTTGTCGGCATTGTCCGATCTCGACGATAGCGATATGTCCAGCAAGATGACGATGAAACGGGTGGCGACATCGTTGGTGCTGCCCTGGCTGGAGCCCCATAGCTGGTGTCGGCATAGAAGGACACAACACGGGAAGTAAGAATACAACGACATCACGTTATTTTTCAAAAGCGCTAGATTGATCGCCATGTAGCTGAGCAGCGACCATGCCATCATGCGACACATGGTGAGGAAGATCATGTACTTGAAGCCATAATTGCTCAACAAGTGCTTGTTTAACAACAAAAAGCCAGTGTTGGACGAGTACCACGAGATCACCTATCCCGTAGTGAACAGCCGACCGGTGACCGTCGGGCCCTGTGAGATCAGCTTACTGCTCATCGTCTTGCCTCCTTTGACAAAGGGAGATTGGCTCCTTCAGCTCTCCCTCCGGCAAAGATCTGAGATTAGGATGTCGGCCTACTGCTGGCTGTTGAGGTTAGTAGAAGAAGGATTCTTGCAATCTGTTGTGGGAGCATTACCTAGAAGATCGTTGGATCGAAAGAGATCTCATAGTTGCAGTTGAGATTAAGATGAGTGCCCCTCCCTTTCCGTACTAAGGATGGCAATAAGGGAGTCTGATAGTTCTGTAAGGATGATCGGTGGCTAGAGTATGAAACCTTGCTCTGATACCATGTTGAAATTCAGAATAATGCAAAATACTTGATTTTATCATTGATATGAATGGGGGTATAAATAACCCTTACAAGAATCCTATAATAGTAAAAATAATAAAAAGAAATTGATATGAAAGGAAAGATATATTACCTAAAATCTCTAATAATCAATTCATATTAATTATTAGGAGAAATATGAAATAACATAAAATATGAAAATAAATAATTCATAATCAAAGGAAATAAATATAAAATAGGAAAATGAATATCTTCTTATATTAAAGAAATAATTTATTACTCATAATTTTTTATATGAATAAATTATTTTCTTTTATAATTCTTAACATTTCTTCTCCTTCCACTTCATTCCTATCCGAAACCATTGAGGAAAAAGATAAACCTTGTTTTTCTCCCACTTCTTCTCATCCACCTTAGCAAACTTCCATCTTATCTAATTCTTGTACATCACAACCCTTGCACCTGCATTTGTGAGCTTCAACTCCTCTAAATTATGTAGAACACATTTCTCCTGCCTACTTTCGGAGGTCTTTGTATGACGTAATCTTGTCATTGCCTCCCCCAATGGTTTTGGAAAGCAGCTGCGCGAAAGAAGGAGAGATATGAGAGTTTCGGATGTCTTTGTACGCCACGATCTTATCACTGAAGGAAAAATGTGAAGAGGTTGTTGTCTCTAGCAACAGTAATGAAAGGGTGAGAGAATGACACTGATGAGAAATTGAGAAAACTTGGGTTTTATGTCTGCAATATTAAAATTTAGGGTAGGAGATATGTGAATTAATAAAAAATGTGTGATATAGGTGTAAATCCTCTTTCTTTAATCCTTGTCTCCTTTGTGTGAGAATATTAACGACGATGATTTGATCATCTTATCGCGTATTTCGTTTGATTGAGGGTCAGTTTGGAGTAGCTGCAGCTTATTTAGCTTCTGCCGATAAACAGCTGATTCTGATAATCTGCTGATGAGCAGCTGATCCGAATAGCTGGCTAGTTGTTTGGTTTGTGCGTTTGTAAAACAGCTGATTTGCAGCTGTTTCTTGAAAAATGATCATTTTGCCCCTGAACTGAATAAACTGTTACGCTGTTTGGTTTATGTGGTTTGAGAACATGTGATTTGCAGTTGTTTGTAGAAAATTAACCATTTTGGCTCGTACAGTGGAGCTATTCGCAACAATAACATAATGTAACACATTCAATATACTAAAATCCAAAAAATACTACATAACAGTTCAAAGAAAAAAAAGATATACTCCCCGCTCAAGGGAGTCTATTTACAAACCTATTAACAGTAAAGCTACACATCTTCAATTCTTCAAATAAATATGCACCAATCCTCGCTGAATTTTCATGCCATCTATAGACTACCCATCAGGTAAGAGGATATTTGAGGATTTTAGATTTCTAAAAATATATATTAAACCAACACATACAAAAAAAAGAGCATTTACATATATAACACTCAATTCTTATGGATTTACATATGTCACTAAAAAAATTCATTTTTACATTCATACCACCAAATTCCTATTTATTTACATATCTAACACTTAAATTTTACTTCCACCAGTCTCAAAAAAGGAATTTATAAATGAAGCATGAACAAAAAAAAAATCAGAGATAAATCGCTCAAGTTTAAACTTAAATAAGGAAATTTTATTGCAACAAAGCATCGACAGCGGCTTCCTTCTGATTCCTTCGGCAGGTATGAGCAGCAGAGAGGTAGGAGCAGCTTCCTTCGGATTCCTTCGACATATAGCAGCAGCTTCCTTCGGCAGGGATGAGCAACAGAGAGGTAGGAGCGTCTTCCTTCGGCAGGGATTAGCATTGGCTTTCTTCGGCAGAGAGCAGCAGCTTCCTTCGGCAGAACCCTAGGGGGAACGGATTTGAGGGCAGGGGCGTAAATGCTTCGCTCGAATGCTGGATTGTGGGGTTATACCCGCGATCCGCGTCTAATAGGAATAATAGAACGCTGTAACTCGGTGTTTTGGCCAACACAAGCAAAATATGCTATTCAAACACAAATGCGGCGTTTTCAAAAATACCGCCGTAGTTTTAAGCTACCCCAAATAGACCCCAAATCTTCAAGTATACAGACATAGGATAATAATTTCTCTATGATGGACAACATTCCTAAACGACTTCATGCTCCAAATCGAAATAAAAAGGCAAAATAGAAAACTCCGAACCACTTTTAAAAAAAAATGGAAATATGTATTATGGCACAGATAGCCAGGCCGGCTAAACCATTTCAAAATTTCCAACTTCCAGCTGCGAAGGAGGAAGCTAGAGGAGGAGAGGGAGAGGGAGAGGGAGATATGGAAGCTCCGATCAACTCATACGAGGACATTCGCAGGAAGAGAGTTGAAGAAAACCATAAACAGCTTGAGGTGAGCAATTTTCCATGGAAAGCTAAGACGCATTTTTTTTTCCTTAAAAAAATTCTTCTATCAACTGCGGTTTCTTTTCTCACTTCCTGCTTTGATTTGTGAATGGAATGAGGAGTATGAGCGAATGTTTATGAGATTGTAGGTTTTTCAAGCATCTTATTTCCAGAGAAACCATTTTATGTTCTTTCTCAGGCATCTTTGTTGTGAAGGTTTATGATCTGGTTTTCTACTTTTGATCTTATTGATGACATCTCATTTATCTGTTGGTAGTAGAAAGATGCTATACTCGCTCGTCCATTCACTTTAAGTTGTGGTGCACAGTTGGCTTAGGGTAAACTATTATGGTAGCTGTTGGCCGAAGGGTACGGACTTACAATGGATGGGGAAGAGAAGGTACCTATATTTCAGAGGGACAGATATAGAATAATATTTTGTTTTAATTTAACAAAAATAACACATTATTGCCCTCTTTATGTAGTTTTTTAGTTTCCTTCTTCCTGTCTTTTTGTTTTAGGCATAGTTCCACTAGCCGCTCCAGTTTTTTATAGGGCTGATAATGAGGGAAGCTCGAGGGAGCTAGGCTTGACCTAATTTTTCTTTGTAGTCCCGACAATAATTTAGGTACTGTTATGGTATGACTCATATATCATATATCGGGACAGACGCTGGATCGAAGCGGAACGGAGCGGAGCGGAAGAATCTGTTCAAATTGAAAAGTTACGTGGGTTGGGGTGCGGGGGCAAAGCCCCGCGGTATGGTACATGGGTAATGTTGTAATTACGTATTGTGCCTAGGTTTACTCATGGGGTTATAAATAGACATGTTAGTAACCTCAGGAGGTATCCCTGAATTCTGTAAACTCTTTTCTGATTATTGAAAGAAACTCGCCGCTCTGCTCCCGAGGACGTAGTTATCTTTGCCGAACCTCATTAAATCTCTGCGTTCTTCTGGATTTGTGTCGATTACTGTTTTTCTTCGCCCTATTTTTCTCAACAGGTACTTATGTTTTGAGTTCTATCCTTCATAGAAAAATGGGCATAAATATTCTCCATTGAACCTTTAAGCTCAAAACATAAGTAACATTTTATTACCAACTTCATCATTATTCTCTCGCATTGTAATCTTCAGTGCTCTCATTTCCAAAAAAACTATGGGCTGATATTATAAAGGGTCCCCATCAGCTATTTTTTAATGCAAGTTAGTTTAAGGTGAGATTCTGTTTGCACTATGAGGATTACTTTAGGTTGGTTCAAATTATCCTTATCTGTTATGCATATTTATGATAATGTAGATCATTAGCATACATTTCATAATTATGTTAGGGGTATATGCTTCAATAGAACCCTTGCCAATTGAGACTAAGTGACACAAAATGGATCATTTGTTCACTATCTACACCAAATATTTTCATGTCAAGAATATCTTCAACTATGTAGATTTATATATAATACCAAGATTATTTTTTTTATTCAGTTTATTTGTATTTCTTTATTTTTGGTTTGTCTCATAGAGAGAACTAAAAGCCTTAATAAGTCAAGTCCATGAATTTGAGATAAATCTGTCAGAACTAAGTCATTTGGTCAAACAAATTTTCCATTGCTCAGTATAGACAAAAGCAGGTTGTTTATGAGGGACTATTTCTTAGGTTTAATGCTGATTTTTGTTTAATTGCGTGGCCACAAGTCTAGCAATAGATAGATGTTACAATCATTAAACCATATCAACATGTAATAATTGTTCTTTTGTTGTAATTATGGTGTTGTATGTATTAAACTTCATCCCACTTGATGCTAATTAGCACAACGATCTAACAACATAAAAGTAAATTTGTAATATATTCCATCTGTCCTTTGTAGGACTTGTTGATTGTTCTATTTGTTTATGTGACTATAATAGTTTAACAAAGTGTTTCAATATATTGTTAGACTTGAAGAAAAAAAAAACAAAGGCAACGAAAGTATATCACATGTATTCTCAAAGTTAGATTTTAGTTAATCTTTGGAAACGATGCTTAAATATGGAAATTTTGTTATTAGGTGATATAAATATTGAAATTTGAATAGTTAGAATGATTGTGCTAGTATGATTACTCTTTTCACTAAACCTTATTGGTCAAAATGATGCTAAATGATTTGAGGAGAAGCATTTGATTATAAATGTTAAGAATAAAACAAATACGTAGAATTGTGGCACCCATTTAGAGAATTTAGCTTCATAAGTTATGCAATAAAGTTATCAGAGAAGGCTATTGAATAAAATCACACTAACATAAGTGAATCAATTTAACCTTTTTGGCTAAGAAGATTGATGATATATGATATTTTGGTGATTAATGAGATATGACAAGGGCAAAGAAAAGATAGCATATTTATGCATAATCTCTTGGGTTTTATGGTTTAATTGTTATGAAAAGACAGTGTGAAGGAAGATTTTAGTACAGTATACAATATAAACACCTCAACTACTGAATTTTTTTTCCGTTCTTTCTTGTAAAACTTCCAAGAAATAAGCCACTAAATAAAATTTTTCATTCCATAATAAGATAATACCATAAATCTTGAAATAAAACAATTGACTTATAAATAATAATGAATGAAAAATGTCTAAATATTCTTTACATGCAACAAAATTATACGAGCATCTAATATCAGTTGTTTTATGCCATTTACTCCATAGAAGATATACTTGGAAAAAAATTATCAACTAAAGAGAGTTATGCATTTATAATTTAGTGGGTATGTCACAGTTCTAAATTATAATAAGATAAAAAATAAAGTGCAATAACAGGCATGTTAATCATTAATTTTAAGCTATACATACTCATAAAATTTTTTGAATTTAAAAAATACTTATGACCTTAAGCATTGCTAGGCAATTTGGGCTACGCATAGTTAAAAAATTATAACATCCCATTTGGCATTTAGTTTTAAACATAAACTGAGCTTTTCATATTATAGAGTCTTTCATATCATAACTTATGCCTTCATATATATCTAATATATCATTTTTAGAAGCATTGTCTAAAAATTTAACTCTTCTTGATAATTTTCATGTTGGCATTGCAAGGCGTAGAACAAATTCACTATTATCTGAGGTTAGAAATCATCAACTCACCTTTTGTCGATACATTTCCGATCAACACAACGGGATATATGTTATATTTTTATTATTGATTGAGGTGAAGAATCAATCATTAATGCTCACATACATTAGCATCTTCATTTAGTACCAGAAGGGGGTTACTCTATCGTTCAACACACACATCCAAGTATACCTAGATCTTATTTCATTTCCATTCATCTCTACATATAATATTAATTAGTAAGAATTATTATTTGGTATTGTGTAAACAATTGAGACAAAAATTGAAAACTAGCTTCATTCTTTGCATTATGAGAGATCATTTGCAAGAGAGAAAAACATTATTGTAATAAATTGCAGTCATCATAGAATAAAATCAAATCTCATCTCTATAAATGGAGAACAATCACAATTGAATCGATTAAATGCAAGGTCTAGAGAAAAGACAACATTAGTTTCATTAAGAAATATAATTACCCACTTTAGAATCGCCTCTTGGACATGATTGTGGAAGAACTAGCTTTGTCGTCCCCGTAACTTGAGCCTACACTTTTATATTGATTTAATCTATATATCACATATAAAGTTAAGCACATAACTTGAGTCTTACAATCAAGTAACTTAAAACCTATGCTTTATTTCTTTCAAATCATCTAGCTATCCTTTTAAATCTTATCTTAAAATAGGACTCATTCACTGATATTATTATTGGGGCTAATTTCTTTTTGTCTAATATAAAATACGCCATGTTTATCAAATAGTGAATATAACTATGATTAGTAACATGCATAATCTTTCCAATGACTTACTAATTTATCTTAATTAACTTTTTGAAAATTTTATTGATCCTTTTACCTAAATTTAACTTTGGTGGTGGATATCATGCTTTAAGTTCTAATTTGTGGATACTATTTATTCCAGTGGACATGGGCCTTGGAAGTTGTTGCTAAGATCTTGAGTTCGATCCTTGCCTAAATAATAATAAAACCCGAACTTATGGATTTTTTGGTGGAAAAAAGTTTTAATCTCCATTTAAATGAATTATATATCATATGAATTCTTACAAATTATATGGCAAACTTCTTTTAGTGCTTCTTCAAATATTTGAATAAATCATATAGTTAAGCATGTTAAATACTTCATGCATTGCTCAATTACTTCAAGAGAATATGAACTCCATTATATAAAGTAGTTATTCAATATTTAAAATTTTACTTTGTTTTGTTTGTTTTGTTCAGTATATAATTAATTCATTTTAATTAATAAAAAATATTATAGTTATAAAGCTTTATAATTTTTTATGATTAGTATTTATTTAAATTAATCAGAGGAAGAAGATAATGACATAATGCTTGTAAAATTTCTTCAATGAAGATTTCTTATCCAATTCTTAATAAATGTTTGCATAATTTCCTTAAAATCTTCTTCATCTCCTTAAGATAACTGAAAAAAATGAAATATAAGTCATAGAATTAAGGTTTGCATTGAATTGAAGACGGCGAATAAAAAGAAAACAGTTCTCTAAATTTTTTTCCTTCATAGAATTAAGTCCATTACGTAGGGCTTGTTGTGTCCAAACTCTCCAAGCTCTTTTGGCCTTGCTATGCCTATCGCACCCTCACTCTGCACTCTCCCCCTCAATTTTTGCTATGCACTGCTGTGCTTTGACAGGTAAGCATATACTTTACTTCATGCTAAGAAAGGCTGATACCTTTTGTAGCTTGGGAGTTGGAAATCAAATTGGTGTGTGTATTTTGGTTGAAAATCTTATAGAAAGAACAAACAAAAAAATTCCTGCAGTGAACCATTGATTCATTGTCATTATTGACAGAAAGCTTTGCTTTGAGAATATAGCGGTGCTTCGCAGCACAAAAAAAATTATGCCAAAACTTTACGATTAATCTATCTGATAATTACGTGCGATGGCAAAGATATTTGGCTATTTTCTATTTCATCTTTTGTTTTTTCATTTCTTTCTTCATTTTCCAAAGTATTCGATCTGGAAGTGTTGGTGCATTTTGGAAAATCAACCGTACATGAATAGTACAAAGAAAAAATCAAGTTTATTTTTTCTGACTTGACTGCCTTGTTAAAAGGGCCTTGGAATTTCGAGGATCTCAAAATGTCTTCTTGAAGCGGCAAAGACTGAGTACAAGCTATTGGTATGCCAAAAACCTTTCATCATTTAACGGTATATGGTTCTATTTTATTTGATGAGATGGTAAAAGTTCTGTTTTGTATTTGTTTATAACTGCAAGAAATTTCCTTTTCACATGTTGAGACTAGTCTTCCATCGAACTTGCCAAAGAAACAGTCCATGAGTTTCATATTTCACTGAATTCTGGTTATGGCACTTGTTTTTCACATCTAAATATCTTTTTTTTTTAATTTAAATTCCATAACTAGTTTAGATATATAGTTTTGCATTCTGAATAAGATTATGATGGTGAAATGAAATTTAAGAGAGAAAAACATAACAACAAGAAATACAATAAAAGCTGAGAAATAAAGGGAAGGAGGCAGAGTATACCTTACACCCACCTGAATTTGGAGGACTCTTGGTATCAGCCAAAGAAGGAAAAAAGAGCCACAATGTTAACCAGAATAGGGAAAGGATCTAGCTGACTGCTCAAGGAGGAAGGCGAGCAACTGTCTTTGTTTTCTCCTCTTGGCAAGCACTATCCTATTATAAAATTAAAGCCCTTTATATAGATGAGGATATGTATGTAGTCACAAGTACTAAGGTACCCATAAGCATACATAAAGGCCAACATGCCATAATACATGAAATTAAGCAAATCATCAAGTAAACATAAATACTAATAAACTAGTTCTCTTTATTATCTAGCATTAGAATCATGTATGACTTGTGAAATATTGCATCTAGTCCCTTGAGTTTCTAAGAGTTTTTCCTTGAAGAGTTGGAGGGGAGGCGATTAAGGCAGTGAAGTTTGATGTGCATAAAAAAAATGTAGTGTTGTATGATGTGTTTACTGCATTGTCGTGTCATTTTTTTTATGCGGGCTATAAATTTTGCGGTGGTAGGGTAATGAATTATCATTCTAGCATTGTACAAGAATTCAACACACACTCCAGTAAAAGAAAACAACTAGTAATGACACTCAAAGTTTTTACGTGGAAAACCCGTAAAGAGAAAAAAACCATGAGGCTTGACTCAGTTGTAAAAATTCACCATATGTTGATGATTACAGAGAACCTTTATTCCACAGACGAGAAAATGATTACTAGGTTTTTCAAGTTACAATATCAACTGGCGGTTTCCAATCGGTGGTGGTCGGTGGTGATTGGTGGGTGATTACCGATGGTCAACGCTAGTTCACGATGTTTGGTGGTGGTCAACGATGATAGTTATGATCGACGACAGACAACAGTGGTTAATGACGGTCGGTGGTGGTTGACGACGACAGTAGTGCTTGACGACTCTATTTATAGTGTTTTAGGTGTATTTAATGCAGGGAGATAAACTATTTTGATCGGACGGTCCAAAGAGCTCCCTTCGATTAGACAATATTTTATGGACATTTGAGTGCCTTAACGATGTCAAAATTAAGCAATTTTGGGCTCGTGGGATTCTTCTTGTTGAGACGCTCGATTTGACTATAAGCTCGCCAGATTCGACACCCATTTGACCTTTCAAATGCATCTAGAAAACTTTTAAAAGTGGTTTTATGGCTGGATATGACTTTGATTGTACTCAGATTCGACCAATTTTAGTATCATTAGGTTCGTCACATCGAGCTGATCAGTTTAACTATAAATATGCTGAAATCGAAGCTCTGGATGACTTTTTATCAAGATTTGAACACTTATTGCTCAAAAGATTGTCTTGACATCCGTGTTATACCTCAAGATTCATGTCGAATGCTGAGAATTTGTTGATGGCGTACGATTTATATTTTTCACGGGTATAGTGTAGTATATAAGAAAATAGGAGCATTTGACACTAAATAGGCCAAGTCAACAGATGAGCGCCCAGCTTTCATGGAGAGCGTTTCAAAATTGAAGGTACCAGGTTTCAACCAGAAAACATAGCAAACAACATCCCCATGCTTGGACCAAGAATTCCAGCTTTAGAGGAGCAATGCCCCAAACCCACCTAGCCGAACACCTTTGCGGCCATATCAGTCAATGCAAGTGATGTTAAATCAACGAATCGAAAATAATTTTTAGATTCAAAGTTTTCTTTGTTCAAGTATCTAGATTTTGTTGGAATGGAGAAACTAGATTCAATTGATTCACAATTAAATAACACCACATAAGTTGTCGTAAAAAAATATTAAAATAATTAATATTATTAATTAAATTTATTTATTATTAAGTCTCTCGTTCCAGCCTAAGAGAGCCCCACAAAAATGCATAATTGTTCCCCCGCTCTCCTCAAAAGCCATATCGGCAAAAAAAAGAGAGGATCTTGATTGTCTTCAATAAGATTTCACGCGTGACATCAATCAATACCGATAATTAGACCATCCAGAAGAACCTATAAGGTCTATCGTTTCATCATGGACCTTTCAAACCAAAAAAAAAAAAAGAAAGAAAAGAAACAAGAAAACAAACACTTATAAACATCTTGAAAAACTCAAACAATCTTAATCAAATATACAAATAACGGAAATAAACATGATATGTATAAAATAAATAGAAATTGACAAAAGAAGTTACTAATTATAATTTTGTGTAGGAGTGAGTTATCAGAAAATTCAATATACTAACCAACGAATTTGTCTCTACAAGAAGACAACAGACCTTGTCTAAAAATGGTTTTTGGTTGTCTTTAAACCACGTAATACCAAATTTGTGTGTGTCACAAATGCATACCACCAAGAAAGACTATCTAGAAGAACCTTAAAAATCGTATCATCGAAAAAAAAAAGAAAAGAATTTGGTTGCATTCAATAAGATTTCACATTTGACACCAACTAATACCAATAATTAGATCATCTAGAAGAATCCATAAGGTCTATTTTCCAGCTCAACTTCCTTTAGGCAGAGGTCGAAAAATATGAATTTGACTTTCTTATACCACATGGCAGCTGAACTGACTTCTTTAATCTTTAGAAAAAAAAAATAAAATATTAATATTTGACAGCAACCACAACACAATAATTAGCCACCACAACCAGACAACCACAACCTATACCCACAACCACAATCATCACGGTTCAAGACACAACACCACAGCCACCCAACCCGTAGCCCGCCACCACCACACATAGCACAACCACCGAAGCCACAACACATCCACCATAAGCCACAACATAGCCACCATAACCTACAACACAACCACTCAAATGTAGGATCTTTTGGCTGCTTAAAGTTAGCAAAATATGCTTTGAATTCACACTAACAAAATCATTATATTTACCTGTTGCATCTTACTATTGTTGGGATGTATAAGAATTTATTGAGATTCTTTTCCTAGAGATAATGAAGATGATGCCTACATGTTATTGATGATGATAACTGAAAATTATTCTTTCAAGCGTTCTCTAAAGGATTTTTAAAGCAAATCTATGATATATTAATGCACAAAATAATTTCTACCACCACACATAGTGCAACCACCACAGCCCACAACATAATCACCACGAGCCAAAGCCACCACCCAACCTATGGCCAACTACACCATAATCACACAACTCCAACACATCCACTATAACCCACAACACACCCATCATAATACACAACACAACCACCCAAATGTAGGATCATTTGGTTGCTTAAAGTTGGCAAAACATGCTATGAATTCACACTAACAAAATCATTATATTTTCCCATTACATCTTTCTATTGTGAGGATGTAAAAAAATTTATTGGCAGTCTTCTCCTATAGTTAATGAAGATGATATGGGATATCAATGCACAAAATAATTTTCACCGCCACATATAGCAAAACCACCATAGCCCACAACACAACTACCACAAGCCAGAGCCACCATCCCAACCCATAACCAACCACACCACAACCGCACAACCACAGCACAACCATCATACCACAAACCCAAAACACAACTACCATATCCCACAACACAACTACCATAACCCACAACACAACCACCCAAAAGTAGGTTGCTTAAAGTTAACAAAATCATTTTATTTTTCTGTTGCATCTTACTGCTGTGGGGATGTATAAGAATTTATTTGTAGTCTTCTCCTAGAGATAATGAAGTGATGTCTACATGTTATTGATGATAATCGCTGAAAAGTATTCTTTTAAGTTTTCCCTAAATAATTTTTCAAAGCAAATCTATGAGATATCAATGCAAAAAATAATTTCCACCACCACACATAGCACAACCACCACAACCCTCAGCATAGTCACCATAAGTCAGAGCCACCACCTCATCCCACAGCCAACCACAACACAATCACCATAACGCATAACACAACCACCCAAATGTAGGGTCATTTGGAAGCTTAAAGTTAGCTAAATATGCTTTGAATTTACACTAACAATACAGTTTTTTAAGATTTTTGTCAAGCGTTGCTTGAAAATTTTGAATCCAACCGAGTCTACTTACATGAAATTAGTTAATATGTTCTGGAATATTGTTATTCTAATTGAATTCAAGAAATAGGAAGGGAAGGCGGGAGTGAATACAGGCATCAACCAGGACTCTGGAACAATAAGATGGAGAAATTGAAGCCATGACCACAACCTTAAAAGGGTAAAAAGGAAAACTATTTTATGCAAATTTGCTAAGTGTTGATTGAAACTTTTGAATTCAACTTGGGAACAATTTCACATTTTATTAATGCAGATTAGTACACCGCATGGTTGTATCAGTTAATATGTTTTGGAATATTGTTATTCCAATTGAATTCGAGAAATAGGAAGGGAAGGAGGGAGTGAATACAAGCATCAACCAAGACTTTTGAACAACAAGGTGGAGAAATTGAAGCCAATTGAAGCCGTGACTACAACCTTAAGAGGGTAAAAAGGAGAACTATTTTTTGCAAATTTGCTAAGTGTTGATTGAAACTTCTGAATTCAACTTGGGAACAATTTCACAATTTTATTAATGCAGACTAGTACACCGCATGGTTTTATGATAGTTATTTGGACATGTTGTTTGATTGCTTTATTCTATGGTACTAGGCCATCTTAAAATATAACCCCTCTTGATACCTAATAAATCGACCAAGTTCTGTTTTTTGAACTTAATTATAAACGTCATTGTATCAATTTAACCCCAAAAAATAAAAATGTTACCTCATTTTTATTGTTGTTCTAATTTATTTCGAGAAATAGGAAGGGAAGGAGGGAGTGAATACAGGCATCAACCAGGACCCTTGAACAACAAGGTGGAGAAATTAAAGCCATGACTACAACCTTATGAGGGTTAAAAGGAGAACTATTTTATGCAAATTTGCTAAGTGTTGATCGAAACTTTTGAATTGAACTTGGGAACAAATTCACATTTTATTAATGCAGATTCGTACACCGCATGATTGTATCAATTAATATGTTCTGGATAATCGTTATTCCAATTGAATTTGAGAAATAGGAAGGGAAGGAGGGAGTGAATATAGGCATCAACCGGGACTCTTGAACAACAAGGTGGAGAAATTGAAGCCATGATTACAACCTTAAGAGGGTAAAAAGGAGAACTATTTTATGCAAATTTGGTAAGTGTTGATTGAAACTTCTGAATTCAACTTGGGAACAATTTATTAATGCAGATTCGTAGACGGCATGGTTGTATGATAGTTATTTGGACATGCTGTTTGATTTCTTTATTCTAACAGGCCATCTTAAAACATAACCCCTCTTGATCCCTAATAAATCGACCAAGCTCTGTTTTTTGAACTTAATTATAAACGTCATGTTATCAATTTAACCCCAAAAAATAAAAATGTTACCTCATTTTTATTGTTACTCTAATTGAATTCAAGAAATAAGAAGGGAAGGAGGGAGTGAATACAAGCATCAACCAGGACTCTTGAACAACAAGGTGGAGAAATTAAAGCCATAACTACAACCTTAAGAGGGCAAAAAGGAGAACTATTTTATGCAAATTTGCTAAGTGTTGATTGAAACTTTTGAATTCAACTTGGGAACAATTTCACATTTTATTAATGCAGATTCATACACTGCATGGTTGTATCAGTTAATATGTTCTGGAATATTGTTATTCCATTTGAATTCGAGAAACATGAAGGGAAGGAGGGAGTGAATACAGACATCAATCAGGACCATTGAACAACAAGGTGGAGAAATTGAAGCCGTGACTACAACCTTAAGAGGGTAAAAAGGAGAACTATTTTATGCAAATTTGCTAAATGTTGATTGAAACTTCTGAATTCAACTTGGGAACAATTTCACATTTTATTAATGCAGATTTGTACATGGCATGGTTGTATGATAGTTATTTGGACATGCGGTTTGATTGCTTTATTCTAACTTTCATGGTACTAGGCCATCTTAAAACATAACCCCTCTTGATCGCTAATAAATTGACCAAGCTCTGTTGTTTGAACTTAATTATAAACATCATGTTATCAATTTAGCCCCAAGCAATAAAAATGTTAACTCATTTTTGCAGAAAAACCATAGAAGTTCCAACGTGAAGAAATTGCTCGAGACAACAGAGTTGAGGCGCTCATCAAGGATGCGCAATCCAGTTCCTTTATATCGTGATGATGTATGATATTGCTATTTCAGTATGAGTAAAAGAAAGAATTAATACTTCTTGCTAATCTTTCTTTGATACTGCCTTTTATTGCGATTGCTGATTTTAATATCTTTTGCCTCCTTGGATCTTGCACTTTTACTGTTTTCTACTTGGAATAGAAATTTCAGTTTTAGCACATAGTGGTTATCTATTTGTTAGAAGTCCGTTTTACAATTTATCCTCACCTTCTTTACAATCATATCGGTGCATGAGCTACTTTTCTCTCCTAGAAAGAAAATGCCCATTTTCCTCATTAAATTTGGCGTATGCTGTCATATATTGTTCTCAAACTCGAAATCAAACCACTGATTTCGATTTATGACCTGAGATTACTTTTATATCAATTTTCATCTTGGTGAACTCTTCTGTTTAGGGTTTGTACAAGACTAAGATGACGGAAGACTTCATATTGAAATTTGAATCATCAATTTAGATCAGCATCTCAGACAGCCAATAACTTGGAATTCAGCATCACAAGAAGTGATTGCTCTGTGCATAATTTTGCACAATTTTTTTCAAAGCCCAGAAGGATTGACCCAAGATTCAATTGTTTAAACACTGAAGAGTTTAGTCAGATTAACTCCTCAGCCCTAGAGAATATAGTTGTTGACCTCCATGTCCATAGGCAAATCTAATCAAATGTGTTGACAAGGGAAAATGATGGATTTAATTTCAAAACAAATTGAATTAGAACGACTCTCTTGCTTGAAAAGAGTATTTGACTGGTGCCATTTCACCAAAAGACATGTTTCATTGAATCAAAACATCAAAATGGTTAAAAAAATGCTACCGATGTCTCTTGAGCTACCAGATGAGGAAAGGGTAGAAATTTTTCATACACTGGGGGGAAAATTAATATGAGGAAGTGCATGCACACACTCATTCTTTATATTACTAATAAATTACTATTATTATCATTTATAAATTAATAAATATATTTACAAACACACAAACAACACTATTTTTTAATTTTATTGTTATTAAAAAGAAAAAAAAAATAAAAGTGGCAGTTTTATTGGTCCCAAATTTTCAAAAACTAGATATGCTTCACGGTTGTTGTGTATAATAGTACAATGTTTAATGACAATGTCATAGCGCAATATGACATTTTTAAATTAAGAGAATAATTAAATTTTATAAAGCCCATAATCGTGTGCTGGCTCCCTTCTTTTGCAATTCCTTCATGCGATTTCCTAAGCTTGAGTGATTCCTATCTCCCTCTCAATTTCATAAGTCTTCTCTTCTTTCATTAACTCTCTCTCACAAACACACCCTTCCCCTAAAATCTTTTAATTCTTTTCTTCTCATAAGTAGGGTTTTAATAAAGCTAACTAGAGTCAAGTCTGTTTTTAATTGGACAGCTTGGTCGAATCATAAGGTTATGCTCATTCAATCTTGAATTGAGCTTTAACATATATGTGTCAAAGTTTTGAGAAAAATAGGTTGAATTCTGAATAAGCTCGATGTCTTTTCCCTGTGCTTTCATTCCATTAAATAATAATCTTACAATCTATTTTAGGTACAAAATAAAGTGCATAATCTATTTTAGGTAGCTTAATAATATATATTCCTAATCTAAATATTCAGCTACAAGGGAAATAAATCATAATAAAGACATTGAGAATAATTTAAATAAGGAAGCTCCTAATTATAAAAAAAACTCTTAATTTAGCTGCCTGATTTCCGTCCCTCCTGATTGACATTCCTCCTTAAAATCGATGCTGACTGATCAAGAAGCATCAATTTGCCAACAAAAAACTGATAACATTGTCAGAACAAAAAATTCTCAAGCAGTGAGTGTCGAAGCTGAAAGTACCGAAGTCTGAGAGTGCCGAATCCCGAGAGTGTCGAAGTCCGAGAGTGACGAAGCCCGAGAGTGACGAAGCCCAAGAGTGCCGAAGCCTCAGAGTGCCAAAGCCCTATGGTTTGTCGAAGCCGAAGCCATCGATCTAAGGAGTGTCGAAGCCGAAGTTTAAGCGAACGAAGCGAAGCGTAAGAAGAAGTCAAAGATTCCACAGAAACAACGATGGCTAGCAAAAGAGATCTGAAGAAATAATGAGACAAAGAAAAAATGAGCGATAATCATGGGAAAGAAATAGTTCCTCCCTTCCCGTCCTACAAGAAGGCCGACGGGAAGGGAGTCTTGATGGTACTCCAACAATTATCAGTGGTTAGGGGAAAAAATTGGCTCTGATATCATGTTAACGTTTTGAGAATAATAGACTGAATTCTGAATAGGCTCGATGTTTTTTCTCTATGCTTTTGCTTTTCATTAAATAATAATCTTACAATCTATTTTAGGTACAAAATAAAGTGCATAATCTATTTTAGGTAACTTAATAATATATATTCCTAATCTAAATATTCAGCTACAAAGGAAATAAATCATAATAAAGACATTGGAAATAATTTAAATAAGGAAGCTCTTAATTATAGAAAACTCCTAATTTAGCTGTCTGATTTCCGTGCTTCCTGATTGACAATATGTTCATACATGACTAGCTTAAATTTTTTAATGTTCATTCTTAATTTGTGCTTGGCTTGTTTATATTAATTGTACAAATAAAAAAATTCAAATGATAGCATAAATTTTTTATATAAAATTAAAATTTTGATTTGTACTTAATTTTTTATGTAAGGCTAGTAAATAATTCTGATTTTTTTATATATAATTATTAATAAATAATTTCGAAAATTTAAGTAAACAATCAATTGAATAATTTTTAAGTTAACATCTAGTTAGTTTATACCAAGTAAATAAAATATTATATAAGTTGTAAGTAAACTTTCTTACCATCAATAATATAAATAAGTGCTAACAAACTAATTCATTGAAAAACAATTGCATTAAATTTATATGTATATTGATATTAAATTATAATATATTAGTATAAAACATTTAACAAGTTGTTCATTGAATAATAAGAGAGTTTGTTCGTGAATGTTAATAAACATGTTAGGTTATGTTCAATTTTGGTTCTTTTAATCTTTGAGTTTTAAAAAAAAATTGAACTTGTTTATTTTATATTTTGAATAAACATGATCGAGTACTAATCGAGTCAAGTTCAAGTTGTTCAACAAGTGTGTTTGTTCATTTCATATTCTACTCATAAGCATGCCTTCATTGTGATAGTGAGTATAGAATAGTGGCCTCATCACCCTACAAGTCCTCTTACATGTTTTTCCTAACAAGAAAGAGAATTTAAATTCTTTCCCTTTTGTAAAAACAAAAAATGACCTTTTTGTATTTTCTTTATACAAGAAAGTCGAACAATGTCTAGGTTTTTTGTGCAGCACTTATATGCATTTTCTTAATGCAATAAAGAATAAAATATTGTTTGTGTCATTTTGTACACCTATTGACGCTTATTTTAGGCATGGTAGACAGACTTGCAAAATTCATGGAGTTGCTACCATATTCACCATAATTTATTTAAAAAGTCAAAATAAAAAATAATTTTTGGAGTGATGAAAAGCAATAAAAACTGAGAAGAATGGTAAAACATATTTAAAAGAATGATAAGCAAACACTTAAAATCAGCAGAGTCAAAAAATGTTCAAAGCGGGCGCACAAAATAGTTTTATAAAAATTCACTTAACCCTTTTCATCCAGATTTAGGATCAACATTGGTGGTTTTAAAACTTTTTTGGTTTGAACTTTTAATATAAAAAGATGAAATATATAATGATAAAAAATTTTTATATTCTTAAAATATTGCCTGATTACATTTTTATCAATCTCATCTAATATTTTTTTCTCAATATAAATGACTTGAAAATATTTATCCATTAATATCTAAATATATTTCATATTTGATTTTGTTTAATAGTTATAGCAGAAAATTTTTTTTAGCACTTGTTATAGTAATGTTATTGTAATGAGTAAAGTCAATGCTAATTTCAATAAATTCAATAAAAGGTGATATAAAGTAGCCTTTTTTATCTTAATATTTATTCTGCTAGACTTCCATAATATTTGGAGTGGTGAATCATAATGCGGAGCTCACTAGTTTCATAATAATGCAAATTTCTTGAGTGGCGAATCATAGCATACTCTTCATAGGGCCAAATATCTATTATTAGCTAAGATCAATTTCAAATAATTTTCTTAAATAAATGTCCACACACGTCTTACATGGTCTGTTTAGATGACAACCTATAGTTTAGATCAGGTTGAGTTGACTGCATTCTTTGATTAAGTAAATTAGAGTATATGATAACTTAGGATGACAAAATAAGAGGATTTTGATTAGGTTTGTTATCATTACCCTTATCATCCATTTAAGTTGATGACAATAAATTTTCTCAATCCTAAAACTAAACTATTGCTAGTATACGTCTGAAACTTAGCGTTTATCAATTAGCCTTGAACAAAGTTATCTCATCATCAAGAGATATAATTAATCATAGGAGCTTGTGATTAGAGAGTTTTATTTATGAAATATTATATTAATCTAACTTATTTTCAAATAAAATGAGTTAATTTTATAATTTTGTTAATAAAAATTACATGTAAAGGTTGATAGGATATAAATGATATAATATTACATAAAAAAATAAGTAAATTCTAATTTTTGAGCTGCAAAGCTAAGTAGTTACAGTTGCAGTGCTAAGGGTATTACCTCATAGAGTTGAAAATTTAGAATTAACAAAGAGCGCAACCGTGCGGTTCTACATAGTCCAAAAATAGAGAAGGCAACTTTGAGATGCTTGACCTGAGTGTCGTGGAGCTACATCTAGTTCTGGAGTCAAAGAACAAAGCGTCAAGGTGCCACGATTTGAACTAGTTCCGTTTTAAAACAATTTTCTAGGTTAATTTAGAAGTTATTGGGGAGTTATGAACCAGTGATTTAGCCGTGATTTAAGAGTGGTCTAAGGGACTTTTGAGAGTGTGTGAGTACACTTGTGTAAAAGTGAGAGTGAGAGCATTGGAGAGAGTATCAGGGAGAAATGAGAGAAGTAAGGAGAAGAGGTCTAAGGAACAAATGTCTATTAAAATCTAATACTCTATCTTTCCAAATTTTTTATAAGTTGTCATATTCTGGAATAATGCTCTCATGTTTGTGGTTTTCTTAGTAAAATCATGAACTAAATTTTGTAAAATCAGGAGTTCTGGTTTATTAATATTATTTCCCGTAAAATCTTGTGCTGTTTATACTGAATGATGAAAGTTTTTTCAATTTACTTTAGACTTAATTGCTTAAAATTTAGTGTGATCTATAGATATCGATGGAGTCATAGATGAAAAACTAGAAGCAAACTAACAATGTTTTTAGTATGATAGATATAAACATTGGAATTTTCAAACCATGAAAAAATTATTCTTAATGCAATCAACTTGCTAGTTCATATAGACGTATATTGTATTATAAATAATGACTGTATTTTCTAAATTATCGACTGAGATTAGGAAAGAAAAAAAAATATTTTTTTGATAATCAATAGATCTTAAATCAAGAAATTAGAGGAAACTAGTAAATGTAAATAATAAATTTAAGGTTGCTCTCTCCTATAGCTAAGTTTTATAGTCAAATCTTAAATTAATAGTTCTATAATTTTCTAAATTATTAAAGAGAAATTAGGATTATATTCTCAAAATTTTTAGTTATGATTCTCGTGAAATATTACTCTATTTATCTTGTATTACTTGCACGACGCGTCTAGTTATATATACTAGTTAATTCGTTCAGCTTCTGCCTATGGGAAATTTGATAGTATTTTATCTAAATTTTAATTTGCCATATGAAAATTTAACCCATAGGTTAAACTCCCTCAAAAGCGTCAGATGTCAATTTTTGGAGTGTAAAATTCTTTTTTTTTTTTTAATTTTAAAGGAATGCATTTATGTTTATGATTTTATGAGGACTTTAATTCATATTATAAAAGGACTGAAGTTTCTTGTTACCATGCGGGTCATGTTTACAATGAAGTAGAATACAATGATGAAGTTCTTAGATGTTCTTCCAGGTTGTGGACAACCTGATTAGACCACACGGTGGAAGGAGGTAATAATTATTAAAATGTTAGTTTCTTTTGTGGATATTATTCTTATTTTTCTATTCACGATATTTAGATTTTGTACACATTATTTATATTTTCTACAGAAGTTATAAGAGCGAATTCATTGGAAGAGAATATACGGGAAGAATTCCATCTTATGAAGAAAAAGTTCTGGCGCTAAAGAGAGCTGAGATGCTTCAAAGTCTATTGGCATCAAATCAACCATCATTTGTTAAAACAATGGTTCGATCGCATGTTTCTAGTTGTTTTTGGCTTGTAAGTTGGTCTTCTTTAGATAATAAAGAACCACTGCCTTCTAAACTAATTGACAAATCTCGAGAGAAATAATTGCAATTTTCTCCTCCTTTCTTTCCATTATTTGAGGGTCTTCCAACAAAGTTTTGCAAGGACCACCTGCCTCATGGTGTGATGACAATGGTATTAGAAGATGAAAAGGGTGAAGAGCATGAATCCATTTATATTGGGAAACGTACTGGCCTTAGTGGTGGGTGGAAAAGCTTTGCAGTGGATCACAATTTGGAAGATGGAGATGCATTAGTATTTAAGTTGATTAAATCAACGAGATTTAAGGTATTATTCATTTTCGATTGTTGCTTGAGATCCTTTTTTCATTCATTTTTTGTCTGGATTTTGATCATTTTGATCAAGGACATCTTAAAGTCTTAAATTTTCTACTATAAATTTTGGATGAGTTGTACGAGAAATATTTTGAAGATGAAAAATCACAATCATACGACTCTTAGGTAAATTTTCATCTCTTTGATGTGAACTCTGAGAATATAAAATCTCACTCCAAATAAAAAATTGAAGATTTTTAAAATATGAATTCTGAAGAAAAATAGTAAACAAATAACAAGCACCCAACATTCAAGATTTTGACTGCCAAAAGACACATTTCTTCAATTTAGTTTTTTAACTATGCAATACTGACTCAAAATGATCCTTCAAGGATTATAAATTGAGATCCATTTTGTAAAATTGAAGGACTAAACTATGATTATATTTAAATCACAATTCCTATGCTAGGGACCTTTTTGGATCAATTTTATATAGTTTAGGGACTAAACTAGAGACATTTGATACTTTTGGACTGAATTGGCGACATATGAATAATTAGAGAACTCTTATAAAGTTCAATATATGTATAAATTAGAGCAATGATAGAAACTTCCAAATTGGTCGCTTGCCGGTTTAAGGAAAAGCCTTCTCCCAGAATTTATCCTAACACTGGCACCGCACTTTAAAGAACTGACATCCGACCAACACAAATTGGAAAGAAAATATGTTAAGCAATTATTTGCCTTTGTGGCTCTATTTATTGCCTCAGAAGCTTCAACACTCAACTTTAGCTAAAACAGTAAGTTCAACTGAGGGAAAAATGACAAATTGGAGGGTTAAAGGCACAAAACTGCTGAAATATATTTGATACCGGAGGTAACCCAAACCACAACTCAGACACGATTAATGTTATTATTGAAAATTTAAAACAAGAGCACAATGACACTTTCTAACCGATGAGGACACAAAAGAAAACAACTAACATGAATACATAGACAATAAAACAAACAAAAATACAATAAAATGAAATAGTGATTGCATAAAGTAGATTAAGCTCGGTTTAGAAACATCCCTGGGTGGTGTTGGTAGGTGTCGGGCGGCTCGTTGGAAAGAACTGCAAAGGGGTCGGCGACAACTAAAGGGTTGCCGGATGAATCTTCAGTGCTTGAGTGCGGTGGACGGTCGGTTGCGGTTCTTTAGCGGAGGTAGGAGGGGTTTTGAAGGGTTTTACTGGTGTGGCAGGCTGTTGGGGAGAGGCGGGGAGGAGTGGCAGCCGACTGGAACAAGATTTGGAAGGCACAACAACTGGCTGGAAGAAGGTTTAGAAGACGCAACAGCTCACTGGAGGAGGGCTAGGTGGCACATCAACTTGCTGGAGAAGGCTGGGAAGGCGTGGCAACCAGCTGGAAGAAGAACGAGAGGCGTAACAACCCGCTGGACGGGGATTGGGTAGCGCGACAACCTGCTGGAGAAGGCTAGGAAGCCATGACAACCTGCTGGAGGAAGATCAGGGGGCGCAACAACTCGCTAGAGGAGGACTGGGTGGTGCAACAACTCCGGAGGAGGTTTGTCGGCACTGATGGAGGAAGCTTGGAGGGGTGTCGAACAGGTCGTTGGAGGATTGGGATGGACGGTAGTGATGAAGGGAGGTACCAGATGGATGGAGTAGAACGGGAATACACACCATCTTGGCCATATACAACCGAAGCACCACTACGCCGAAGGATACAACTTTGAACGAGGGAACACCAGGAAGAACACCTGAAATTAGAAAACAAACAACTGATTAGGGCTTTAGCAAAACACATATAAAAAGATAGGAAACTAGCAGCTATCAAAGGTAAGGTCTGAGAAAAGAAAGAGAGGAAATGGCAGGGAATTGAAGCAGTGTGATGCAACGACTAGGAGGAGGCATAAGGATAGGGTGCGGGAGGGGGAATCACGTGTTTTTAATAGGGTTGGATCGGTTTCGGTCCAGCAGGAGGGCTAGATCGGTTCTCTTATCATGCCCGGTCAACAAGCATGAGCAAGCAGCCCTGCGTCAATCCCTCAGGGTTGGGGGAGTTTCAACATCATTTGTCGAAGTTTCTGCTTTCTCGTAGTAAGGAGTGAGTGCAATAACTAATGTTGTAGAAATTTTGGTGACTCCTGGTGTCAATTTTGTATGTGTAGTCATTCAATTTTTTTTAAATGCAGAAAGGTATATCGACTTTGGGCTTGAGTTTGTTGTAAGCTCCTACAGGAAATTGTTTTTTCTTAAGTCATGTCCACACAAGGTCACCTTCTTGAAATGTCACATTTTTCTTAGATTTGTTTGCTTGTGATTGATATTTGTGGTTTTGCTTAGAATTTGCTTCCCCAACTTCCTTGCGAAGTCGATGAATTTGGTAAACACGTTCTGTTGTATTCTTGTTGAAATCTGCTAGGGGAAGAAGTGGAACCAACTCAAGGGGGTTCATCAAGTTGCGATCGTACATAATTTCAAATGGTGTATGTTATGTGGTCTGGCTTCTTGATCCATTGTAGGCAAGTTCGGCTTGAGTGAGAATGAGATTTCATTGTTTGATGTTTTTCCCAATGAAGCATTGAAGAAGATTCTCAAGACCTCTATTATAGACTTCGGTGTGCGTATCCATTTGAGGATGTGCTGCGAAACTAATTAGTGTTTAGTGCCTAACTTGCTTTAGAGGGTCCGCTAAAAGTGAATCAAGAATTCAACTTACTGATCAGAAGTAACGGTCCTGGGAATGCCGTGAAGCCGAACGATCTCGCGAAAATATAAATCGTCAATATGAGATGCATCTAATGTCCGAAGGTTGGCGACGAAATGTGCCATCTTTGAAAAACGATCGACTACGACAATGATAAGAGTTCTTATTCCTTTGTATGTGTGGCAATCCTATGACAAAGTTCATGCCGACATCAACCCAAGGTGCTTCAGGGACTGGTAAGGGTGTATATAATTCTATTTTTCTGCTGTCTATTGGCGATGTGACAATTCTTACATTGTCGAACATGTCGCTCCATTTCCTGTGTCAAACGGGGCCAAAAAAATGTTCTCTCACGAGTGCAAGAGTTTTATTTTTGCCAAAATGATCGGCCAATCCGCTACTGTGGTTCATCTGGATGATAACTTCGCATAGTGACATGTTCGTAGACTGTGCTTGTTTATTGTTTTTACTGTGTTATATATATTTATTATATTTTTGGAAGGTATTTTGGATAAAATGAAGGTAACAAGTGTAAGGAACAAGTCAGGAATAAAAAGAAGGAAAAAGTAATAGTGTGGTGTTCTGGGGCCTAGGCGTTATGACCTGACGCCTAAGCACCAGAACCAGTCCCTTGGAGTGAACAAACAATGAACTTGGAAACCCGAAGCACTGGAATTGGAGCGTTGGAGCCCTGCCTTGCAGTGCCCAGGTGCACGAATTGAGAAAGATTTTTCGAGAGCTTGGAAACCAAGGATTCTTGTAGCTAGGGCGCCAGAAGTACAGCGCCTAGTCGCCTCGACACTAGCGCCTAGGTGCTGTAGAAGAACAAATTGTAGCGCTCCGGCGCCATATATGGGCACCCCAGTGCCAGAACCCAAATGTTGGCGGTTTGGGCATTTCAAACTCTAGTTCGCTTGGAGTAGATATAAATAGGAAGGAAACGAAAATGTGGGGGCTTTTTACTATTTTTCTTCTGTCAATTCTAGAAGGAGAATTCTGGAGGAGAAAACCACACAACTTGCAAAGAGACTAAGAAAGCAGAAAAGAGAGTGTTTGTGAGGATTGAGAGAGTTTATTGCTTGCTATTGGAGACATCTTTATCCCACTTTAATGTGAAGGATATAAGTCTAACTAAGTTGTATTTTCTTCAGGATTTCTTTGTAAAAACTTGCTTTTGATATTTATTCATAATAGTAAGTTTGTGTTAATGAAAGTTGTTATGAATAGTAAGTAGTTTACTTAATTCTTTTTTTAGTTATGATTGTGATTGGATAAGACTAAGAGTTTGAGATTGCTTGATTGGATTTGATTTTTATTATGCTGAGTTAATTTGTGAACTTAATTTACCTTTTGCATGGTCAATGGATTGTTAAAACCTTTCGTGATTATTGAAATTCGGAAGGATTCTGTATAGAACAAAAAAGTTAACCGCTTAAATTCATTGAAATACGGATATGACCAATGAGTTTAAGTAATATTTTGGGGGATATTTTCTTTTGGGCGGATCAAGAGTTTTAGGGAATTAAGGTTGAGACTGCTAATCTTCCTTATCTTACCGGAAGGGGATAAAGAAGAATTTTTCTTCTGATGGACACTATTTTTGAATCTACTCCTTAGTTTTATTCATCACTTGATTAATTAAAGAGGGAAATCTTTAGCACTTGAATTTTCTACAAAAATCTTTTGCTTATTGGGATAGAATTGCTTTTTAAATTTAGGACAGATAAACAATTGAATTAGTAAATCAAACTTTTCAGGCATAGGTTGAAAATAATTGGTTATAACTTTTCCTTCATTGAGTTTTCCTCGTTCTCTGTGGGATCGACAACTAGGCTCAAACCCGGTACTATTGATACACAACGTATACTTGCACGAGCAACCCATGCTATGCAACACCTAGTGCGTGTCACGTAGTGAGAATCAGGGAACGCATAATTTGTTATGGTGAAACATGTAGTCGTTTATTTTATAGAACTGTCCGTGAGGTTTCTCCCTACATTGTTTTTATATTTCTTGGAAGTCCTCATTTGTCTGGTATAAGTCTTTTATAACTTCAAAGCCTACGACGTGCGTCTGCAAGGATGTGATTAGGAGGTAACAACGGCTCAGAGCGTCTGCGACGCGGTTTTGATTTCCAAATTTGTGTTTGAGTACGAACTAGAAGAGCGCTAAGAATTTTACTTAGATAGCGTGGCGCCCTTCAGTTTATTTTGACTGTTTAAAAATTTTAGAGCTTCATGATCCATGAAGTGGCTGAACTCAGTGGTGAGTAGGTAATGACTTCAGTGTTTAAGAGCTCTA